TAACTAATCAAATATTGATATTAATAAAGGGTATACAAAACTATATATATATATATATATATATATATATATATATATATATATATTATATATTTTCTTATACTTGAAAGAAGAAAAAAGAGAGAAAGAGAGAGAGAGAGGGAGAGAGAGAGAGAGAGAAGAAAGAAAAATGAAAGAATGATATAACTTGCAAGCAATCAATCAATAAATGTAATATAGATAATATCATTTAATATCTTTGACATTTGTAGTGTTTGATGCAGGGAAAAAGAAAAGAAAACGAAGAAAAAAAATAAATAAATAAACAAATAAATAGATACAAGAAATAGAAGAAAAAATGAACATAAAAAAAAAAAGAGAACGTTTCTATCGCCTAAACATGGTATCGACGATAAAAAGTTGAGAAACTTGGAAGTAAAAATCGTAGAGATTTTATCGGAAAAAAGAGAGAGAGAGAGAGAGAGACTGCCTCCCTCGAAAAGAAAAATGGCGGCTGAGAAGTCGGATGTAACAGTCTCTCGAGTGAGATGAGGAGGGAGATAGGAGATGATGGTGGTGGTGGTAGAGGTGGAGGTGGAGGTGGTGACGATGGAGGTGATAGTGGTGGTGGTGGTGGTGGTGGTTCGCCGGGCTTCGAATCCCGGGAATGAAAGCACCGACGGAATTGACAGAAGCCTCGAAAGCTTGGAAGCATTGGCTCCAGACCCCCTGGCGCCGTCGCGACGCTCCGTTCCCCAGCTTTTGGCAAAACACATCGTAACTGGAAGGGGGCGGCTGCCTTTTTTATGCTCCGACCGCCGACATAGCCACTGGTTTCAGAGCTCGAAACTTCCCCATAAAATCCTACTTGGTATACTAGTCGTTGCTATCTCTCTACACCACCATCAACCCAACCCCTACCCTTCTTCTCTTCCTCCTCCTCCTCCTCCTCCTCCTCCTCCTCCTCCTCCTCCTCCTCCTCTTTCTTCTTCTTCTTCTTTTTCTTCTTCTTCTTCTTCTTCTTCTTCTTCTTCTTCTTGCACTCTCTTACTCCTTCTTACTATTTCCTTCTTCTTTCTTTTTTCTTTTGCCCTTTTTTTCGTCTCTCTCGTTTCTTTTTTTTACTCTTTGTTCCCTTTTCCCTCCATCGTCTCGTACTCTGGAGATATCAATTCCTTTTATCGTCGTAAAATAATTCACGGAACGCTTGTACTATTTGTTTCTTTTTTAGTTTTTATTTATTCGTTTGTTTGTTTGTTCGTTCGTTCGTTCGTTCGTTCATTTGTTCGTTTGTTTTTCATTTATTCGGTCTTTTTTCTTTTTTAATCCTGTTTTTTTTTTTTTAATTATCATTTGTTTCATTAGTTATACATTTTATATAATGATTATTTTAGTTTTTATTTCTTTTCTTTCTTTTCTTTTTCTTTTTCTTTTTTTTTCTTTCTTTCTTCTTCTCTTTAAGAAGATCGGATAGATTTACGGATTGACGATACGTTTCATTCGGTATCAAATTAACAAGCATATTGATTCATTATCGTCAATTATTACGTTTCGATTGTAATTTGCTAAGGGAGTGTGATTATTTTGGCAAAAAAAAAAAAAAAAAAAAAAAAAAGAAAAGAAAAGAAAAAAAATCAAAAGACAAAAGAAAATGTTGCAAGGATTTATTTTCTTTTTCTTCTTCTTGTATTTCTGTTTTTTTATTCTTTTTTATTTTTGCTGTTTCTATTTCTTTTTTTCTTCATCACTTTCTTCTTCAATCTCTCTCTTTATTATCTCATTTCATTTTCATTTAAAGTTAAAGGTATGAATTATTTCCACGACAGATAAAAATCTAAACGTTTTGATACGAAATGCTTACAGACAAGTATTCCCTCCATCGTAGTAATAAATACAGAACCAATTACTACTCTTTTCTCCCTTTCTCTCTATCTCTCTCTCTCTCTCTCTCTCTCTTATCGTTCTTTTTCACTTTCTCTCGAAATGTGTATAAGTTTGATCTCATTCCATGAAGAAAACTTTTCCTCCTCTTTTGTCCCGTTCGCCATTTGTGGGATGAACAATCGTCATCGACATAGAAAGTAGTAGAACATAGAAAGCACACATACACACATACACACAGACACACACACAGACAAATACATAATTACATATATACCTACATATATACATACATATGTACATTTAGTATATTTATATCTAAGTATATGTATATCTACGTAGAAATAAGTCTCTACGTCTACGAAAACTTTATTTTCCTCTGTCACCCTCTTTCATCTCTCTTTGGAAAGTTTTCCCATTATTTCTTGAAGAAATTTTATCACCAGACATGTTGGATTGATATCTCAGTGGCTGTGATAACGGAATATACATAATACGATAAAGTCGTAACGAAGAATTCGTACTTCTTTTAGATCGTCCGTTCGTTCGACAAAACGATTCTCTAATCGTCCGTAGCAAACCAAAACGTTTCGCTGAACTAATTCCACTCTGTTTTCCACATCACGAACTTTTCCACCACGATCGGACTTTTACAATCCGATCTTCGATCTTATTTGTCGTAAAGTTGTCGTAGAAAATACATAGAGTAAGAAATTTAGATGGATAGATAGATATATGTATATAAGTATATATATATATATATGTTTTTATACACATATAGATAAACAGATAAAATGATACGAGTATTAATTTTGTATTTTTACGATGTTTATTCTAATGCACACGATTGAGAAACAAATTTCAATTTGTATGTAAAATCTTTTTTTAGTACGAACTACTTCTTTTTTATTTCTTTAAAATTATTTATATATATATATATATATATATATTTTAGAACAACATAAGTTAAATTTTATTCGACGTTCAGAGGTAATTATTATTAATTAAAATATATCGTTTAATTATCGTACGTATGCGAACGATGTTATACATTTTTTTTTTCTTTTTAAACATTATTTAAATGAATAGCGACTTATCGACATGGGGTGGAATGGGGTTGATGAGGATGGAGGGGAGGGGAGGTGACTCGTTTAACACGCCTCCACGTTTAACACATTTCCCCGATGCTCGCACCATCTTAAGGATACTCCGGGTAATAATTTGAGTCGATAAAGTAGGACACGCTTTTTCCTATAAAATGTTTTTCATTGCACGGTAAAGCGCAATCACGGACGCAACGTAACGCAACGTAATGCAACGTAATGCAACGTAATGCAACGTAATGCAACGCGAAACACGATTGAGAATTTATTAGAGCGTAAAACCCATTATTCTGGCAAACATTCAATCTTAAATTTTACTTCCGTTCGTCGTCGTCGTCCTCGTCGTCGTCGTCCTGGCATCGAAAATCTTCGGACAAAAGAGAGAAATGCAAGTTTCGATTTATGACACTTCCTTACAGAATATCTGGGACATCGTGTTTATACAATAGTTTAATCGCGTCCTAATTCGATTCGAAGATCCAAAAGGACATACATGTTAATCACAATCAATTAATCATTATCGTTATCGTATATAATAATTTCGCAGGTATTGAAATTATAAATGACATTTATCGCGTATAATTTTCTTTTCTCTTTTCATTCTTTTTCTTACGCTTAATCGTTAAATTCGAGAAATTTTCTTTTTTTATCTTATATATCTTTTTCCCTTAAAATTTGTCCTTTTACATATTTACTATTACATACGAACGAATCGTCGTACAATTCATTCACAGCTGTATAAAATACATTACATTTGTAATCTCATAAATCGAATTGGAATACGATGATAGATATTCTTTTATTTCTTTTTTTCTTTTTTTTGCCTTTTTTTTCGCTTTTCTTTCTCTCTCTTTTTTTTCTAACTTTTTTCCTTTTTTCATTAAATCATTTTTTCTTTCACGTTAAACGTTGCACGTACGGGTCCCGTTGCATGGTAACGTAACGTCTGAAAATTAAATTCTACGCAGTTAACTTAGGTTTAAATGACATCATTCGATACCAAATCGATACGAGTTACCGACCCCTGTATCGTTCGTCTTATCGAGAACACTCGGAAAGATTACTTTCGACGTAGATGCGTATTTTAGTGTTATACGTTATATACGTCTCGTGGACGTTTCGTGAACGTAGGTGCCAAATAAGAAAAGGTAGACAAAAAGAAAAAGGGGGAAAGAAAAGAAGAAGAAGATAAAGGAGGAAGAAGAAGAAGATGAAGAAGAAATAATAGTATTACAATCAATCAGATCGCCATTTTTATTCGTACGTTTTATTCGTTATAATGATAACGAGCAAATCATTTGAAAAATAAAACTATTACAATTTTGAAACACGTGAGAAACGTTTTCAGATGGATAAGAATTAAACGTGACGATTGTTCTTTCACGCGTTTGAATATTTTTTTTTTCTATTTTTTTTTCTTTTCTTTTCTTTTCTTTTCTTTTCTTTTCTTTTTTTTTCTCTCGATAACGATAAACAATAATACCACGAGAAATTTGGAATTTTCAATCGAAACGAAAGTATCATCATTGTTTACATTATTTTTATAGGTTATATTATTTTCTACTTTTTTTTTTTTTTCTTTTTTTTTTGATTTCTTTTACCTTATTTCATTCTTTCCTTCTGCTTTTTCATTCTCGACGATACATGAGAATTTTGATTTTTCAAATTAAAGATGAAAATTTTCATTATGGTTGCATTAATTTTTTCTCTCTTTTCTTTTCTTTGTTTTCTTTTTCCTTCTCTTTTTTTTTTTTTTTATATGAACATGCCATTCATAATCGCGTAAATAAATTCGCAAATTGTTTTCCGTCGTAGCGAAGAGAATATTCGAAGGAAGGAACGTTGCAATAACGTTATTGCATTAGCTTGAAAATTTTTAGAAGACGCGCGTGTTTTTCCACGTTTCAAATAAAAAAGAAAAAGTAGTGGGGTGGCGGTTGCGCGGGGAAAGGGAGGCGGGCGTGGGAGGGCGGTGGAAAGAAGAAAACGATCGTCGCGCCCGAAGAAATGGAAAATATAATAAATGTTTGTTCGCGACAACAATGTTAACAGGTAGACAAATATGCGACGTACACGCTCATATATTCATAAACAGATTACGGATATAAATAAATAAATAAATAAATATATATATATATATGTATGTATGTATGTATGTATGTATGTATGTATATATGCATGTATATATGTATGTATGTATACTCTCATAAACACATGTACGTAAAAACCCTCGCGCAATATCTTTTTTATTTTTAGCTATATTTGTTTGGATTAGTTATTTGCATAAACGCGCAGGAGAGTGGATAACGCGCGCAGCGCCATGCGGAATAATCATGGAGCGCGAATGTAAGTAAGTTAGGAAGGAAATTACATATTACAACGGAACGATTGAAAATTTTTATTTCTCTAATGAGCAATTCTTTCCCAAATGATACGCTTACAATGAAAATATATTAATGAACCCTCGAATATATCGTCTTATCTGTGACAATTTTTCGAAATGTTGACATAAAAAAAAAAGAAAAGAAATCGTAACAATTTTATTAATGTCGTAGAAATCAGCTTAAATAGATAAACAAATAAACAAATAAATAAATAAAACAAAAAAAGTTAAAAAGGTAAAGAATGAAACAGTGAACGAATTGTCGTGAATATTTGCGTGGGAAAAAAGGAAGCAAATATATATATATATATATATATATATATATATATATATAAATTAACATACACACTCACATACATGTATAATACTCGTATACAACATACATATACATGTAGATATAAAACATATATATATATATATATATATATATATATATATATATATGAAAATTAAGGTAGGAAAAAAAAGAGAGTGCATAGGATTAACTATATATTTTATGTGTTTTAATGAAAGAGAAGAACGGCGTTTGTGAAGGGGTGGGCGGGGGGCACCAGGAGCACCCGTAAACTTGGAACGGGTATCGCCAGCCCTGGGAAGTTCCCTGGGACGAGCGGAACGCACGGAATACGGATCGCTAGCCGGAGTTGCAAGAGCGTGCCGGACGTGCGGTAGTGCCACCGACAAGTGACAAATTGATTTTTGACGAAGACGACGAAGAAGACGACGACAAAGACGAAGACGACGACGATGACGAGGACGATGATAATGACGACGAGGATGAGAAGAAGAATGAGAACTAGGACGAGGACGAGTATAACGAAGATGCAACAACGACAACGACAACGACAACGACGACGACGACAACGACAACGACAACGACAAAGACGACAACGATAACGACGACGAAGACGGCGATAACGATGACGACATAGAAGAGATTTGTGGACCAAAAATTGTCAGGAGGCGGCGACGGCGGCGGCGGTAGTGGCGGCGGCGGCGGCGGCAGCAGCGGCTTTTCCCGTGCGAGTGGTTAGACCAAAATCGACCTATCTTGGAGAATATAATACGGTGAGTAAGAGTATGAAAAAAAATTGAAAAAAAAAAAGAAAACGAACGAACGAATGTACGAATATTATAACAACAAGAACAATGGAAAGAAGAACGAAAGAACAGGAAGGAAGGATAGAGAGAGGGAGAGGGAGAGAGAGAGAGAGGGCGAGAGAGAGATAATGATAATGATAATGATAACGATAACGACAAAGACTACCGACAGGAACAATGACAATAACAACAGCGGCAACAACACCACGGCAACAAAATGAGCGGGATATAAAAAGAATGACGGCGAGGAAAAATGTTTTAACGCGGGGTAGGAGGTGGTGGTGGTGGTATAAGGGTGAAAGAGAGGGAAGTACGGTTGTGTGGCGTGGCTAGGGTAAAGGGGGAGAGAGGTAGATGGTTAGACGCGGGAAGAGAGAGATAGAGAGAGATATATATATATACATACACATCATATATATATATATATATATATATATATTATGTATGCATGTATGTAAATTATCATGTAAAAGATAATATCACTTTCTTCGTTGGTTAAAAAAAATACAAGTGATAATTCAAGTTCGTTGATGTTTTTTTCCATCTTTCATTTTCTTCTTCTTCTTCTTTTTCTTCTGCTTCTTCTTCTTTTTCTTCTGCTTCTTCTTCTTCTTCTTCTTCTTCTTCTTCTTCTTCTTCTTGTAGCATCCGCGCGTTCGTATACATATATCATCGTCGTCCGGAGTGGATCCCCTATTGATCTGCTCCGGCGATTTTCGAGCAGAATGGGCGTGCTGCTTTCATCGTCATCGTCGTCGTCTTCGTTGTCGTCGTCGTCGTCGTCGTCGTCATCATCTTCGTCGTCGTCGTCGTCGTCGTCGTCGTCGTCGTCGTCGTCGTCGTCGTCGTCGTCGTCGTCGTAATAATCGTCGTAAGCGACGTCAACGTCGACGTCGACGTCCTAGTTACCGACATCATTTCTTTCATTTCTTTCTTTTTTTCTTTTCGCTTCTTTCTTACTTCAGCACTTGTTCTGTCATTTTGTTTCAAGTTTTCTTTTTTTTTTCATATATATATATATATATATGGTCGTTGAATGTTTGAATGTCGGCCATAATGTTTTTTTTTTTTATAATGTTTACCGGACTCGTGGTATCTTCTCTATCGCGGAAGTTTTCTCTCATGTGTGTGTATGTGAGAGAGAGAGAGAGAGAGAGAGAGAGAGAGGGAGAGAGTGTCCTTCGATCGGAGTTCTCTCTTTCTCTCTCTCTCTCTCCTGGCGCTTTTCGAAAGCTTTCCGAGAGCTAACCTCAAAAGGTTAGCCCCGATATGTTTCATGTGCGTGAGAGAGTGAGTATCAGTAAGAGAGAGAGAGAGAGAGAGAGAGAGAGATGTAGGATGTAATAGTGGGGATAACTGTAGCTCAAGAACGAAAGAGAGAGAGAGAGAGAGAGAGAGAGAGAGAGAGAGAGAGAAAGATATATCATCGAACGGGTGTCTCCCGAAATAGACGTGATTCACATGCGGCGATAGAAGCGCGCCAATTGTGACAGCTTGAAAAATCTAAAGAGTTTCTTCTTGCCGATCGTTAATAGAAGAAGTAATAAAAAAAAACAAAAAAAGAAAAAGAAATGAGAAAGAAGAAAGATATAAAATCTTCTTAAGAATTAATCATTTCTAATAATCATTATTTCGTCGTATCGAAATTTCGTTTTCAATGAAGAGAGAGAAAGAGCAAGAGAGAAAAAGAGAGGAGAGAGAGAGAGAGAGAGAGAGAGAGAAAAAATCGTTCCCAGAGTCAATGCTTAGTAGCGAGCGACCGTGCCAAAAACAATAGGAGCTGGAAAAATCAATAGACGGTTCTCTCTCTCTCTCTCTCTCTCTTCTCTCTCTCTATCTATCTCTCTCTTTCTATCTGTGAGAGGTTAAATAGCGTCAGAGAAGGAATGAGCGAGACGGAGATGAAAGAGAATATGAGAGAGAGAGAGAGAGAGAGAGAGAGAGAGAGAGAGAGAGAGAGAGAGAGAGAGAGAGAGAGAGAGAGAGAGAGAGAGAGAGAGAGAGAGAGAGAGGCGCAACGTTTCGTTTACGAATTCTCATTTATGCATCGCGTATTATCTTTTTTTCTTTCGTTTAAGGACTTGGCGTTCCTTTCGATTTTATTTAAAAATGATTGTTCGTTCTCTCATAGTTATCAAAAAGATTTTCGTTTTTTCATCGTTATTATATAACGTCAAGGATATATAACGTTAACGAGAGAATTTTTGTCAAAATTTACGTATCGTTACGTTTATCTCGTCTTCGATCATTAACATTTCAATAGAAAGTTTTTCTAACACTGTCTATGAACGATCGAACGTTTCCTTTTTCTTTCTCTCTTTCTGGTTTTTTTTTTTTTTTTTTTTTTTTTTTTTTTTTTTTTTTTTAATCATTCGACCCATTCGACTAACAGATTCGTTATAGAGCGTATTGTCGGATAAATCATTATCGTGATTTATGGTGATAGAGAAGAGGATAGAGGGGGGACGAGGATTAAAGCGTATTGTCAGAGTCGTCTTTTTTTATTTTTCATTTTATCATTTTTTTTTTATATTTTGTCTTTTTTCTTTTTTCTTTTTTTTTTCTTTTTTTTTTTTCTTTTTCTTTTTAATTTTCTTCCTCATTACTCTTTTTAATCCTCCTTTTTGATTTCTCTTTGTTAAACGCATTAAACGTTCGTTTTCGCTTTATAAACGATTTACGAAGTCTCGAACATAGAGGGTGGTAGTTTAGAAATTTTTTTTTTTTTCTTTTTTTTTTTTAATGGTCCTTTAGTATGAAAATCGTGATCCTAATATCCTATCGTTCGAGATGTTAAAGAGACGTATATTGATCGTTGATCTTTTTTTCTTTTTTCTTTCTTTCTTTTTTAATTCTAATTTTAAACTTACATATACGAAAGTATTATTTTTCTCAAGGATAAGTGATGCAAGTGACTTATCTTTTCTTTTTTTTTTTTTTTTATCTTGTCACATAATAAAAAATAATTTTGTTGAATAATTCAATCGCGCATTGTCGAAATACGGTGTAATATCTCGAAAAGAGAGGTATATGACTTAGAACATTGTCAAATAATAATAATAATAATAATAATAATAAATATAAATATAATAATAATAATAATAATAATAATAATAATAATAATAATAATAATAATAATAGTAATAATAATAATAATAATAATAATAGTAATAGTAATAATAATAATAAATTGAAAAAATATCGAGAGCAAAATAATGACTATTTTGAGGGGGATTATCTTTTCGTTCTTTCTAATAGCTTTAAGAGATACTTACCGATAAAAGATTATCTTATCATCGATCATCGGTTGTGCAAAGAGAAACGAGTTTCTTGAAATGTTATTTTATTTTATTTTATTTTTTTCTTTTACCGAAGATAATCATATATATATATATATATATATATATATATATATATATATATATATATATATATTTAGTTGATCAATAACTGACGTTGAAATGTTTGATGATACAAGTTGGATGAAAAAGAAGTTTCCGGTTGATTTTAAAAATCAATTATTATCTCTTCTCGATTAATTCTTTTTAGGCTAATTTTTTGTTCGTTGGTTTGTATAGATCGTAAAAAAAAAAAGAAAAAAGAAATTCCCAGATACGTAATCTAAGACGATTTGAGCCTTGTGTTGTCTTACGTTTTGTTTTTTCCTCCCTTTTTATTTTTTACTTATTTATTTATTTGTTTATTTATTTCTTCTTTTTTTCTAATGATCAACGAAAAAAAAAAAAAATTAAACAAAATTTCATTGCGCATAATAAACAATATATATAGATACGTGTTCATGTATATACATGTAAAATGATCGTAAGGAAAAAAATTTAAGCAAGCAACGTATCCTGAAATAATATATATATATATATATTTATGTGTGTATGTATGTATAATATGTATGTATAATATGTATGTATATATATGTATGTATATATATATGTATGTATCTCTCCATTTATATTTCTCCTCTGCTTTTCCTTTATTCGAGGATAATCAAAGCAATTTCGAATAATTATCCAATTCTCCGGCATCCAGGAGAATCTCAGTCCTCGCGAAAGCGTTGCTTTACTATCTATCTCTTGACGGGTTTCGACCCTCTTAAAGGAAACAAACGACCTCGTTATGCAATTGTTGTAAAATGTTTTTCATGGGACGTACGTTAAGAAGATTGGGTGACAATTATGGGGGAAACGATATACGATGGACGATATATATCGCCCATGTTTAACGTCATTAAGCTTCTTCTTTTTTTTCTTACTCTCTCTTTTTTTTTCCTTTTTTTTGTTTTGTTTTTTTTTTAATGTACGATTTTTGTTTCTTTCTCTTGCTTGCATTCGTCAAAGATATATACATATATATATATATATATTCACTAATCATGTACACATAATATATATATATATATATATATATATATATGTGTGTACTTTTATAAGTATATAAAGGTATATGTACATATAAACATTACATAGATGCGTCGTCATAGTTATTTCGTTTCGTAATGAGAAAGGATTTAACCATGTTAATCGTCTCCGTAATATCAGTGATGCAGTGCGCACGTGCATTCATCAAGAAAATCCGATGACATTCATCGGTTTTCCTCGTTCATTAGAAGGTTCGATTTTTGAAGTAATAATAATAATAATGATGATGATAATGATAATAACGATCATGATAATAATAATAGTAATAATAATAATAATAACAATAATATTTAGACATTATATACGGATATCTTTTGGTTAAATTAAGTTGTACTTATAACTATATATATATATATATGTATATATTTATAATTAATTAAAAAATTTTACATTGAAAAATTATTACGTAAAATATATTGAAAAAAATTATTTATTACGTTGAAAGTAGCATTGAATTTGGTTTCTTTAATTTTACATACGATCTTTCTTTTATTTTTCGTTCGTTTTTTTTTTTCAAAGAAAATTCCGAGTCCG